TGGATAGATGAATGGATAGATAGACAGATGGATGAGTGAATAAACGGATAAATAAATAAGTAAAATACACAACTAGATAAATGGATGGATCTAGTGGGTGGATGGATGGATGGATGAGTGAATAAACGGATAAATAAATAAATAAAATACACAACTAGATAAATGGATGGATCTGGTGGATGGATAGAGGGATAGATATAAAGATTGCCAGAACAGACACGCAAATACACCGTCACACAGTTAGACCGAAAGATAAATGGAAAAAAAATCAGGGAAGAGAATGTAAATGAGGAGAGATAAACAGATAAATGATAGCAAAGAGAAAGGAAGAATAAAGCAAAGAAGGAAAGATAAGGGGGAGAGACAGATAGAAAGAAGACATGACAGGAAGACACAAATAAGAGACAAAAGAGCAGCACGTGATAAAGCTTTCGACCCTCATTCCGGCCGGGAGGGAGGGAAAGCAGGGGAGGAGGAAGGGAGGAAGAGAGGAAAGGGAGGAAGGGAGGAAGGGAGGGAAAGCAGGGGAGGAGGAAGAGAAGAAAGGGAGGAAGGGAGGAAGGAAGGGGAAAGAGAGGGAGGAGAAGAGAGGAAAGGAGGAAGGGAGGGAAAGCAGGGAGGAGGAAGAGAAGAAAGGGAGAAGGGAGGGAAAGGGGAGGAAGAGGGAAAGGGGAGGAAGGAGGAAGGAAGGGAAAGCAGGGGAGGAGGAAGAGAGAGGGAGGGAGAAGGGAGGAAAGCAGGGAGGGAGGAAGAGAAAAAGGAGGGGAAAGGGAGAGGAGGAAGAGAGAGGAAAGGAGGAAGGGGAAGGAGGGAAAGGGAAGGAGGAAAGGAGGAAGGGAGGAAGCAGGGGAAAGGAGAGGAGGAAAGAGAGGAAAGGGAGGAAGGGGAAAGGAGGGAAAGCAGGGGAGGAGGAAGAGAGGAAAGGGGAAGGGGGAAGGAAGGAAGGGAGGGAGGAAAGGGAGGAAGGGAGGGAAAGAAGGGAAGAGGAAGAGAGGAAGGGGAGGAAGGGAGGGAAAGCAGGGGAGGAGGAAGAGAGGAAAGGGAGGAAGGGAGGAGGGAGGGAAAGCAGGGAGGAGAAGAGAGGAAAGGGAGAAGGAGGGAAGGAGGGAAAGCAGGAGGGGAAAGAGGAAAGGAGGAAGGAGGAAGGGAGGAAGAGGGAGGAGGAAGAGAGGAAAGGGAGGAAGGAGGAAGGAGAAGGGAGGGAAAAAGAGGAGGAAGGAGGAAAGGGAGGAAGGGAGGAGGAGGGAAGAAGGGGGGGAGGAAGAGAGGAAAGGGAGGAAGGGAGGAAGGGAGGGAAAGGGGAAGGAGGAGGAGGAAGGAGGAAAGGGAGGAAAGGAGGAAGGAGGGAAAGAGGGGAGGAAAGAGGGAAAGGGAGGAAGGGAGGAAGGGAGGGAAAGAAGGGGGGGAGGAAGAGAGGAAAGGGAGGAAGGGGGAAAAGCAGGGGAGAGGAAGAGGAAAGAGGGGAAGAAGGAAGGAAGGAGGAAGGGAGGGAAAGGCAGGGAGGAAAGAGAGGAAAAGGAGGAGGGGAGAAAGGAGGAAAAGAAAAGGAGAAAGGGAGGAAGGGGGAAAGGGAGGAAGGATGAAAGGGAAAAGGGAAGGAGAGGGTAAAGGGAGGAAGTGAGGAAAGTAAGAAGGGAGTAAGTGAAAAAAAGGAGGAAAGGAGGAAAAGGAGAAGTAAGGAAAAGAGGAAAGAAGAAAGTTAAAAGAGGAAGCGATGAACGGAGGAAGGAAGAAAGGGAGGGAAGCAAGGGTGAATTTAAGAGAGGGCGGAGTCAAAAGGGAGTTGAGGGAGTAAGCGTGAGGCCGCAGATGGCAACGCCGTGATAATCAATTCTCCACGACCCCTCTACATCTCTCCCTCCCCCCCCCCCCTCCCCCTCCGCCCCTCTCCCCCACCCCCATCTCCCTTGAAATCTAAATTCTTTACCCCTTTCCTCCTTCTCCCTTTGCTTACGCCCTTTCTTGTCCTTCCTACATTCGTTTTATTGTTTCTTCTTCATGGCTTCCTTTATTTTTTTTCAGTATTCCATCGCCTACTTTAAGAAGAAAAAATGAGAAGATGAAACAAAAAGAAGAACAAGACAAGAAGAAAAAAAAGAAAAAAGAAAAAAACAATAATTCAAACAAAAAAACCAAACAAAAAATGCAAAAAAAACGAAAACGAACAAAAACAAAAAACAAAAACGAAAAAAAACGAAAACAAAAACAAACAATCAAAAATCAAAGAAAACGAACCGAAGCAAATACACCGATATATCACCATTTCCTTTCCCTTCCCCCCTCTCCTCCCCCTTTCCCTTCCTCCCCTTCCCTTCCCTTCCCTTCCCCCGTTCCGCTCCCTCGCGACAGCACCCCGTCTATCGGCAACCAATGGCGGCCAAAAAACAAAAGAAGGTCGAAGGAAGGGTCTCGAGAGGGTCGTCTTGGGCGCTGGGATTGCCCTGGACGTCTTCCTTTCTGCTTGTTTTTTGTCTTATTTCTTTTTCGTGCTATTTTTTGT